TAAAAGAAGAAGGAAGATATGGGTGAATGAAATACTCAGAAAAAAAAAAGAAATTTGGTGAATCTCAACATCTTTGAAATGATTTAAGGAACAACGAAGAAAAGTTTTTCAGTTATTTTCGGATGACAGAAGAAACTTTTAATTGCATTTTAAATGTAATCAAGGGCAGGTTCTCGCTGATCTCATGAATATTTCCGCTCTCGTACTAAATCAATAAGCTTTTCAGTGTTAATTCTTTGCAAGAAAACTGCGAACAAACGCAAGTATCCCAACCAAACGGGATCTGTTCGCAATTCGCAAATGTACGCATGTATACGCGCGAACCAATCTGCGGCTACTGTGAGCGCTTGCATTCAAAACAAGTAGCTTAGATCGTTCGCGCTAAGACGTGCGTTTACGCGCCTTCTATCATTCGCATGTCTACGCTTCCACTGTGAAAGAAGCCTAAGTCGTATGCGTCCAGCCTGGGAGCCCAAACAGCAGCTGCTCAATTAACCCCCAATTTACAAAATCAAAACAAGAACAGGAATTTTGATCACAATTTCGGTAATCAGAGTACTATTGACAAAAAAGGAGTTAGTGTTGGCATTATGCAGGCTCAGGCATCTCTAAAAATGGATAATTTAATTAATTTAAATGCAGATACCCAATCTACCAGCACCAGCAAAGACGGTTGGCAAACTATAGGCGGTCGTAGAAACAGGGGCCGAAAGTTCATGGTAGGCAATAACAAAACCACGAACAATATACTAACGATACCTCGGTATTTCTGTCTCCATATTACCCGGCTTATTGCAGCCTATTTTTAAAGAGGTTAAGTGTGAGGAGCATACGTCCAAACATCAAACATCCACAAGTCTATGTCTCAATGAAAGTAACAATCAGGAAGGAAGAGTTGCAAAAGGCCTGGTAACGTGGAATATGTCCTGATGGAGCCCTTATATCGTTTTTCCTAACCAAGAGGATGTTAAGCAACCATTCAGATCCTCAGCAAGTTAAGTGAGTTCTACAAAATTGCAATTTAATGTATACTATCAAAATGTACAAGGTCTTCGCACCAAAACCCACGATTTTTACTGCTGCTTGCTTCATGAAGATTAAGACATTATAGATTTATCTGAAACATGGTTGGTTGATGGTTAGTATCTCTTCAATGATCCATACAGGGTGTAACGGAAGGACCGCAACAATGGCAAGACCCTATGCGGTGGGGTCTTATTGATTATCAAGAAGGAATCTATTATAGAAGTTGTGGATTTAGTTTATAACACAAATATTATAGAATCCCTAGTTGTGAAGGTAAAATATACGAAATCTCTCTTTTATGCTGTATGTGTGTATATGCCCCCATCTATTAATTCAAGTGTGTATGAGTAGTTTTTAGATAGTATCGACCATATTCTAGCTGCTGATATGGACATTATGATGTTGGCTGATTTTAATTGTCCTTATTTTTGCTCCAAAGGCTGTGATAAAAGTAATATATTAGACCAATTCTTAAATATTATGAACTCCCTTACCCAATGTAATACAATCGTAAATTATAAGCAAAAAATGCTTGACCTTTTATTTACAAACATGAATGTTGAAAGTGTGGTTGAATATGAGTAACCCCTTGTACCCAAAGATCTCTATCATCCAGCATTGTGCATGTCATTGAACTTAGGCAACCAAAAATATAATCATACTGGTAATACACAAAAGAGCCATACGTATGACTATGCAAATGGCGACTATATCTTACTTTATTATCTTCTTAACTCGGCAAATTGGTCGGATTGTTATATTAGTGGTAATTTAGACGACTGTTTAGTCGGGTTTTATGATACTCTTTGGCAATGCATCGACCGAGCTGTATCAGTTTCCCGATTACTTCTCGGTTGATCTAGTGAGAAAAATAAGGAAGAAAATGAACGCATGGGTTGATACGAACTGGAAAGGCGTGCACTAGTGTCAATGAGGAAATATATACGTCTAAGAAAAAACATTAGAAGGCAGACTAGGCATTGTATCAGCGCAATCTGGAAAAATATGCATAGTGACAACATTAGAACAGTAGAAGCGGCAACACCGCAAGTGTAGAACATGGTCGTTTATCCCGGTTGCCAAATTTTCAAAATGATCCGCTTTTTAGTTCTCGTTTAATACGCCATCCACCGTGGTAACTTTCTGTCTTAAGTGTACAGTGAGGACATAAAGTCTATCGCCCCCTCCTCCTTCTCCCTCTCTCTAACTTTTGAACCTCACGGTATATTGCAACGAAATTTGGAATGATGATATGTGAGCAAATTCTCTATTTATTGAAAAATAAAAGAATTTTAGCTGTCAAAATGACAGCTAGGCGCAGTTTTGAAACTTTTTTTTTAATAAAAGTTCCGGTCGAGTGATGTATAGTTTTAAAGGTCTCATTATTCTTGTTTTAATCCCCAATTCTGAAAACATTTGGTTTAGCGCTTTTCAAATGATAGCGAAAAAACATGGGGTTGTTTTGGTCATAAACACTCATAAAAAAATGTCTCATCGGTTTTTGAAGTGAAACTTCTTGAGTGCGTTCGAAATCTCCCTAGGCGTGACACCCAGTGCACACCAGCCATGAATTATTCATGGCTGGTGTGCACCCGGTGTGACACTCAGGGTGATTTCGAACGCACTCCTTAGGTGGCGTTCTGATATTCGGACGAGAATGGAGAGTGATTTGAAAGCGTCACGGGCAAATTTCGTTACTCGAGAGAGAAGAAACATATAACGTAAAAAGACGGAGAAAGACAGCTATTGATTGACACAAACCAAGGATTTTAAGCGTAAAGAGAATTGCCTATTATTGACAAGCGCCGAGAAGATTGTGACGTCACTACAGATGCGCAACTCTCTTTTGTTATACTATTATCATTGTGCTTTGTGATTATTTTTGTTATTTATACAGTTGTGTCCTGGGCTTTTTGAAGTGAAACTTCTTAGTCGGCGATCTCATATTTGGACGAATGGAGAGTGATTTGAAAGACGCTTCACGTTTTGGCAAATTCATTTTCCGCACTTGTTAGGTAAATAGCTATTTTGCAACTTGAAAACTTTACCAAACTCGGCTTCGCCTCGTTAAACAATATACTATTTTCTCAGTAGTTCTGACCATTTGTGTTTGTTGACTGGGTTACTGAGAAGATAGAGATATGGATATCGAAAAATTGATTAATTTGATATGGAAAAAAAGCCTTTGTGGAATATGACCGTCAAATCATATCACATGAGAGACATGCAGAGAAAATTTATCCTTTCATATCATATAAATGATGAAATTCTCTCTTGGCTGAAATATCATTAACCCACTTTTTTCTCTTTAACAATCGCCGTCTAACAAGATAATTACATTTTCCAAAGGATAATCCTCCACATTACTCCACTACGTAAAGACCGCGAAGTCTACAAAAACTTGTTCAGTGGACGATATCATGTATGCAAAATCTGGCGAAATTATTCGTCCTATTTCTGGCGGTTGCAATTCGGACGAAAACGCATCTAAACGACGACCGGCCTTAGTTGAAGTATTGGAAACGCGCGTAGTTTATTCTTTGTTGGAAATAACATGTTTACAAACGTCGAATATGCAGATACTTGTTTACGCAGAATCGTTCAAAATGCTCATTTAGCCGCCAAAATTTACAAGGAATGATTTCCCAAGAGAACGGCACCCACCAACATTGTGCCAGTTTTACAAAAATTGCGTGATACGGGAAGTGTGGGTGTGCAAAATATGCTTGTTGATTTTAGTGTTTTGAGAACCTTTTAATGAAAATTAATATTTTCATAATGAGGATTTGGCAAGTAGCTGAATAAGTTTTATTTAATTTTTCTCTTGAATGTCAAGTGCAAAAATGTCATTAAGTGCAATTCAGAACTTACCGGACAATTTTTATTTTTACTGGAAAAACTATAAAAATGCAAGTGATTATTTACATTATTTGAAAGTCAAACAAACCAAAACATAAACAGATGAAAATAAATATACTCCTTGCAAAAAAAAAAAACTTTCAAATTTACTGGTTCCATTTACATTTATATCCTGGCAGAGATAATATTTGTACAATGTTGTCAAGTTGTTAACATTTTTCTAAATTCAAATTATGCGATAACTCCGAAAATACTAACAATTGACCCTAGCTTGAATAGGACAGTTTTAGCTTGAAATGGGCTATATTATTCGATGTTAAAATATTTGTACTTATACTTGATACATCCTGTACATCTAGGCTCGATTTTTTCCTCTCGCAACTCCGAGAACTATTCAGCTTCGCAATATCTCGTAACAAGTTCTATTTTCAAAGTTGTCTGTTTTGGCGTGTGCCTTTGAAAATCCACTTGCTCAGTCTATCAAAGAAATAGACGGGAACAAAATAACAACTTTAATAATATATTAAAAACATTTGGAGAGACTATTCATGGTGAAAAAATATCTACAATGTCTCTCGAGAAGCTCTATTCTGGCAAATGGAGTTGAAAAGAAATGCTCCCTAATAGTGCAGTTCCTCTTGACCATAAAAAGGGGGTTGTGGAAGATCCTTTATAACGAGGATATAAAAGACACCCTATTATGATCGAATATTAGTTCAAGGGCTCCTAAATGTGATAGGGCCACTCAAGCTATTGATTTCTTAAAAAAATCGCTAAAAAAAATGCCCTATCCTCGTATTCGTAGATAGGGTGAAAAACAATGAATCTTAACACTCCACTTGCTTTTAACCGAAATAATGTTTTCAAACCCTCACCCCCTAGAATATCACATGCACCCCATTTTTTCGCAAAAAAAAATCGATTATCAGTTCAAGGAGAGGAGAAAAATACATATATCCAAGAAAAAGAAAATCCTATCGAAATTGTAACCCAATCCCCGTAAAAGTATCAGTCAAGTGTTCATGTACATCAAATAGACGAGCAACGACTTTAAACTCAAGTATAAAATCTACTTTAGCTAAACTATTTCACTCGAACATATTTGTCTACTCTACCTGTTTCTTGATGACGGTCCTTTGAAAGCACTGTTGTCCTCTCCACGAAATACTTTCGGTCGTTAGACACCGGAATTAAAGATGAGGGTCCCACGTCTGCACTTGACACTAATTCCTTGTTGTCACTTTTAATCTTTTTCTCGAGCGTTTGTTTTAATACTTTGTTCTTCGTTTTATTGTCCATAACACTCGCACTAATAACGTCATTTGTTTCGATTTGTTTATTAAAAAAAATACCATTGACAGATGTATTTGCTTCACTTACCGAATGGCTTTTCCACATTGCCGAAATATTTTTTGTTTCAAGATTAATGGTTCCGTTGGACTCGTGATTTATTATTTGTTTTATCGCTACGATTTCTTCTGCTTGGGCATATTGTAAATCAAGTAGCGTCGTACCCCAAAGTTCTTGCGGACTGGCGCACTTAATAGACCGATATTCCGGTTGATCTTGGCGTCGCATCCAAACGGCCAACCAAAGTAAATTGCTGCAATTAAGCCGGTTATCTTTTATGTGCATTACCCTAAGCTGCGACAGAAAATGCAATAAATCAGATCGGATAAGTTCGAGATCCGTACCGGAAATATCGAGCTCTTGTAATTCCCGAGATGCCGCTAACGCGGCAGTGTCTGAGAGAAATTGACGCGCTAATCCTGAGCTTCCGGATAAATCCAGAGTAACTAAGTGATCGGTAGTTGAAAGGGGAAATGACACGTCTTCCGCGGGTGAAACTGTATCTATTCCGCTGAGTCTTAAAAATTGTAAAAATGAGGGTCCCGAGAGACTTCCTGGGGGAAGTGCTTTGATCGGATTTCGTGATAAATCCAAAGTGATAAGGGAATTTAAATCACTAAAAGCTCCAGCTTCAACAATCAAAATTTTATTGTCATTTAATAGTAAAACTTCTAGATTTGGCAATCCATAAAGATCGTCCTTTGAGATTTTTCGAATAGCGTTGCCTTGCAAATGTAACACAGTCAATTTTTCGGGAAAGCTTTTGGGAATAGTTTCGAGTTTATTGTCAGGTAAATAAAGCACTGAAAGGGCTTCTAACCGTCCCAATGCATCTTCTTCAATAGAAAATAAATCGTTTGAAGTGAAATCTAAAAATTGCAACAATGGATAAGCATCCAATTCACCACAAGTTACTGTTTGTATAAAGTTTCTTGAAAGTTGTAAAATTCTTATTGAATGGGTTAACGTTGGAGGCACCTGTTTGAGTCCCGTCTCCGAAACGTCCACCGTATGCACTCGTTGTCCAATTTGAACAAGAACTTCGCTCGAATCTCCCAGTTGCGTATTCCCCGCGAGCAATAAACGTGCTAAACTTGGTAATTGCAGACTGCCTGGGGCCACTCGGGCTAAATTATTAGAGGACACGTCCAGCTGCTGTAATTTCAAGAGACTAGAAAAACATTTATCATTTAAGCTTTTTAAATTATTATGACTCAAATTCAAATATTGCAAAGACACTAGTGGAGTTAACGATTGGTTGTCCAATAGAAATAAATAATTTTTTGATAGGTCTAATATTTTAAGGGCCTCTAGATTTTTAAAACTCTCTGGCTTGATTTGTTTTATGGAATTTTCGCTTAAATTCAATGTCTCCAAAGTCCTTATCGGGTGATATGATGATGGCAGTGACGTTATTTCATTTGCAGATAAATCCAGAGAAATTACACTTAAATCATCACCGAGTTCCGGAATTTCAGTCAAATTATTGTGCGATAACTTTAAAAACTTCAACTGTCTGCCAACTGAATAAAGCAAGTCACTCAAATTACTTACAGTGCTATGCGTCAACACCAAATTATTTAACTCCGGCAAATCACTCTCCGATAAAGTTTGAAACAACTCACTGAAACTCGTGCCATCCAAACGGGAAACTTCCAAAATCCTCGTAAAGTTGTTCAAAGTCGCGTTCGAATTAAACCCTTCGCACCTCACGGACGTGTAATAAAGATAACTCTTTGGCACTATCTCACGCGGAAAGTGCTTACAAATGCACATCGTAGGACATTCCGTTCCCGAAGTTACCAAAACCGTCAGCAGCAGAATTAAGAGCTGCAACATTTTATCTGACGTCACATCACTAGGATATATTTGAATGGTTATTACATATTTCGATTACATGTCGTGTGTAGAATCGGGAGTCGTAACATCACGTGCGGTGACGGAAAGAGCCGATACGGCACGTCTCAGCTATTTAACGGTTTGGCGTGCACTGATATTTTATGCCATTTGAAGACGGAACACGATGGGCATAGAAGAGAGCGGAGGTGCGCGCCTCAATGCGCGTCTCTATGCCACCCTGATGATGTCGGCTCTATCCTACCATATTTTTTTGAGCAGGTTAATGGATTGACTTTTGACTTTTTTATAGAGAATTTTCGTTGTGTAATTGGGAAGACGTGATGTAGCCAACAATTTATTTAAGACGGTTTCACTTTGATCATCGGACCTGCTCTCGGGTGCTCTCAAAGCACTTAGATTACGCGATACTCCCAGACGGCATTGTAATCGAATGCTTGTTGAATCAATTTTGAGCACCTGCAAAAAATTGTGGTTTAATCGAATTTTAGTTAGTACGTTATATTATAGATACGAGCTGGGGTGTAGAATATGAATTAATGGAAATTTCAGATTCCTGTCTTTGATACAATTGATGATTTGATTTTTTCAACTCAAAAGATCTTCAGATTCCAATTTCATGTTGAGTTTTTTCTGTTAATTATTTCTTGGGACCCCCCAAAACCCCCCAAAACTCCATGGATGCTTGAAAAAAGAGTCGCGGAAAAATTGAAAAATGATTAAATATCCTCAGCGGGATTGCATCTCTAGAGCCGAATTAGATTAGATTAGATTAGAATAGATTGTGTTAAGGCGTTTAGGTAATGGACCTCTCTGCACTGCGACCTGGATAGATCTATTATTGTGCTTTCCCTTTTTCTAGTAGGTTCCCAGGTTGAGACTTTTCGCGAATCTCACGATTTTTCCGGGATTGATTCGTCAGCAGTCAAATGTGTCTGCTCCAGATGGATGTGTCTTCTGTGACATAATGCTTCGCATTTGCAGAGTATATGTTTAGCAAATTCGGATGCTTCTTTGCAGAAGCGGCAAAGGTCTGATTTAGCTTTACCCATCTTTTTCAGGTAGTAGCCAAGAGGGCAGTGGCCAGTGAGGAGACCTGTTATGAGCCTCAAGTCTGGTGTGCTGAAATCGAGTAGTTCTTTTGCCTTTGATAAATTGCTTCGCCTGTCTAAGTCCTGGAGTATTGTTCCAATGGGAAGCCTATTGTGCCTCTACCCATTTTTTGAGTTCGGTCCTTACATGGCTTTTTGTCAGGCCAAAAAAAGGTTCTGGACCGAGGAATGGCGACACGGCGCCTTCTCTTGCAAGCCGGTCCGCTATTTCATTTCCTTCTATGTTTTGGTGCCCTGGTTCCCATGCTAGAGTGACTCTATTGCAGTTCGCCAGTTGCTTCAGAAGTTGCTGACAGTCCCAGACTAGTCTGGATTTATTGACAAAGCTGTTAAGAGCTGCCTGACTCTCAGAATTGATGAAGATTCTTGCACCTCGTAGGTCTATTTCAAGGCACTTTCTGGCGCAGAGTTCTATTGCGTACGTTTCCGCTTGGAATATGATGGGGTTTTTTGCTAAGGCTACCGATAGCCTGAAGTTTGGGCCATATACGTCTACTCAGACCCCTTCTTCTGTTTTAGATCCATCTGTGTACCAGATGGATGAACCGTTTGGGAATTCATGTACGATCCTGTCACTTTTGCCGCCTTCTGCGGTCACACTAAAAAGGTGATTAAATTCGTATCTGAGTGGCATGATGTCCACCGGTTTTGTTGGTGTACTATGGCATTCTTTAATGATACTCATATGTCCAACAAGGTCCCCTTCTTTTAGGTTTAGTATAACGTATAACCCTTAAAGCCCCCATGTAGGCCTCCCTCTTCACTGCAATGTGCAGAGGGATGATATTCCAAGACATGCATACCTTTATACTACCAATCGGTTTTGCCCTGTCTGCTGCTTCACTTTTGGCCACCACACCAATGCAGCATATGTGACCAGGGGTCTTATAATCATCGTATATAACCAACAGATCATTTTTGGCTTTGGGCCCCATGAATAGTCTTCGGCATGTCCAGTACGCTACTGTTGCTCGATCGATTATTCTTTTTAAATGTGAGTTCCAGGTGAGCTTTTAATCTAGGACAACGCCCAGATATTTGACTTCACTTGAGAGGCCTATTTGTATTCCATCCAGTGTTGGAGCTATTAAGTTGAGCTTCCTTTACCTTGTGAATGGTACAATTATTGTCTTGCTAGGATTCACCCTTGGACACTCTTGCAAGCACCAGCTTTTGATGATGTTGAGGGCATTCTGCATGAGTTCACTAATGATCCTATCATGCTCGCCTCTAATGATGACTGCAAGGTCATCAGCATATCCTAGGACCACAAATCCATGGCCACTTAGTATGTTTAGAAGTTTATCTATTACTATGAATACACTTCCTTGGGGGCACCCCTTGACAGCTAGGACCGTCGCTGAGTCGCTTCCAACAGTTGCTTTGATTTTCCTATCCTGTAGCATGGTTTCAATCCATGTGATTGTAGTGTCCTCAAAGCCTTTGTTTTTTTCCGCCTTTCTTATGGACTCATAAGAGGTGTTATCAAATGCGCCCTCTATATCAATGAATGTACAGAGAGTGGTTTCTTGGTTGGAGTGTGCCTTTTCAATCCTATTGACAAGGCTGTGTAGGGCTGTCTCGGTTGATTTGCCTGCTTGACAGGCATATTGGTTTTTGTGGAGCGATTTATCGGTTACGAATTCGCTTCTTATGTGTAAATCAATGATTTTCTCCATGGTTTTGAGGAAAAACGAGGTTAGGCTGATGGGTCTGAACGATTTAGGCTGTGCTGTGGGACGTTTCCTAGCCTTTGGAATAAAGACCACATTCACTTCTCGCCAGCTGGTGGGAATGTAACCTAGTAGGTAGCTAGCTTTGAATGTTATTGCTAGTGGAATTATGAGTTCTTCTAAGCCTTGTTGTAGGAGAGCTGGATTTTTTTTTTCTCTAGAGCCGGAACTTTAGTCTAGGACTAGAAATCTCTCACTAAAATTGGATTCTCTGAATATTTTAGATTCCCAATAATCTCTTATCTATTCACAATATCCAAAGTTTCCTGTAATGACAGATTAATAGGCACATCGAATAATCCCTTCAAGGCCGCGTGGTCCATCATCAATCAGAATCGGAGAACAACAAATGGAGTACCGCAGAGCAACGTCATTTCTGCACATGGCTTTAATACATATTTTGTAAATGTTGCACAGAGACTACTGCAGGGTCTTGATCGGACCTGCATCGGAGGTGCCCGTGGCCCTGGGTTTGAGCTTAGAGAGGGGACATTTGTGTAGATTAAGGAAATCATAGAGAACCTGAAAAATAAACCTAGTCGAGCATTTACCTGCATGTTTTCCTTTTAAAGTCAATGATAAATATGTCTGTCTAGAGTGGGCTCTTTCCGAAGGTTCTGAAACATGCCCTTGTCGTTTCAATATAGAAGAATAAGGGAAACATAGACTAAGAAGGAAACTCTAGACCCTTCTAAAGTTTTTGAGAAATGCATAGCAATACAGTTGACGCAACATTTTTGAACAAATAACTCAATATGGATTTAGGAAAGAAAAAAGCACAACTTCTGCTATCATAAACTTTACATCATCAATTCTGGAAGGCTTGAATATACCAGTACCACCTTTTGTGACCTGAGTGAAGCATTCGACTGTCTCGCACCAGGTTTAGCTCAGAAAACTATCAACTTATAATCTTAGTGGAAAAAGCATTGCCAGAGTGATAGATATCAGACTGTCAGGATTAGAAACGCACTGCCTAGTTATAGGTAGTTGCTTTAGGCACATTTTTCCGAACTGATACCAATATAAAATATCACGCATACGTTTTGGTGGGAAATAATATCTTCACGGGTTCACACTTAAGAAAACAAAAATCGTGGCGAACAGAAATAAGAAGATTGTGTGTTTCTTTGTGTAAGAAGACGAATAGGAGATACCCTATTTGAAGCTAACTTTATTACTTTTTGTCAAGTTCCGACATCTGTCGCTAGTTACCTTTTCCCAGCTATATTATATCTACTAGTACATCCTCCTTTCTTCACAAACTTAACTAAGTAACAACGAAAGAATACATAATAAATATGATTTCACAGATTAGGTGAACGTTTGAAATATCTCCTATTTCTTCTATATATTTGTCCATTGTTCGTTTCAACCTCATAAGATCGAAGAGCCACTTCATCTTGAACGTATGTTTCTTTTTGATTATCTGGAATCCATACCCTCTGCCCTTTATCGTATTGTCCAACATTCCGCGCTTTATGTCTTTGGTCAAAATAGTATTTCTGTTGCTTCTTTTCTTCTTCCTTATTCTCGTTACGGACGGTTTGGAGACCCTAAGGTACCCCAAAGGGTTCAGTGCTCGGATCGGTTCTTTTTCTTATTTATATAAACAATTTGCCGGCATCCCTTCAGTTTGTTCCAATCTCTTTACTGATGATACCATACTTTTATGACCACTGGTAAAAACTTGAGGGTCAGTTAAGTTAGCCCCCCCCCATAGAAAATTTCTGGATGAAAATTATCCCATAATTTTGCTCTCATTTTGCTCCTTTTTGCTCCACTAATTTTGATTTTTGCTCCATTACAGTGGAGAGACTATGTGGCTAATTAGGTGGGGGGGGGTCTGAATTAACGCTAGCCCCTCCCAGTGAAAATTCAGAAATTTGATCATGCTCATTTTGTTCTCCGAGTTTTGCTCCAGTTTGCTCCATTATCGGCGAGTTTTGCTCCATTACCAGGAGAGACCTACAGAGCTCCCAAAAATCTCTCACACAAATAGTGGGGAGTTTTCGCGTGGACATGGCAGATACTTTCAGCTAGATAAGCCATCCTATTAAGGATTAGGGTTCTTGAAGGAAGGCCAAGTTTTGAACTCACCAATTGCTTATGCGCATTTCTCTTGATGAATAACCTATCCTTGTTTTGCTGCTGTCAAATGGCAAGGTCAGCATTACATCGATGAAAATGCGCATATGTCATTGTGGGTTTTAAAAACTTGTCGCATTAAGCCTAGTACTCATAACAGCGAAATTCGCTCTTTTTTGACATTGCTTCGACAATTCGACGTTTTATGCACAATGAACTATAAACTACACGTACCTGGAATGGCCCGCCGATCATTAGTTTGCGGCAAATTGAGATGGAGAATGTGGGGTAAACCTATCTCTATTTATCTTATCGGCGAATTATGGAAATCTTTCTTTGTCTAAAAAATAATATATTTGAGGTTAGGAATATACCAAACCTAACAGCAATGAACTGGAGAGAGAAAGGGATCCCCCACTATGTAGCTTTTTTGGACGCACTAAGCGAGATGACAAATGCCATACAAATGCCATATGCGACAACCAATGAACTATAGCTAAAAACTGGAATGCGCACACATTGCCATAT